GAGTGAGAACTGACTGATGACTGTTAATCTGTTTTAATATTTGTCAAGGGAAAAATGAGGCCCACTTGCTAGGGGAATAATCCCAGAAACTACAGTACATGCTGTAAAGCAACAGTATACCGAAGTATGTGAGGACGTTACCTAGTATTCCATCCTAAATCTTTTTTTGTTAATTAAATCGAGATTTGAGAGGTACAGACTGTTTATTGTAATATCGCTTTGTCCTGTGGTTCCTACATAGAGGAATTAAATTCTATAACTACCATAGCTTATCATGTCTTCAGTGATAAGCTCACCATAGAGACCCACATCAAGGTCGGGTTAACGTGCTGGCATTGAAATAATTACACTCGAACCAGTGATCTCCGTATTGAGACTGATATCTACATCCCACTGGCAGACGTATACTGGCAATAGGATGCACTGGATATCATTTCCTGAATGGTATTTTTATCTGCATGAGAATGCAAACACTTGTTTGTTTAAATAGAGATTAAAACACAAACATGTGGAATGTGTGTCTCACTTGAGAATGTATATACTTACTTACTCATTCACATAGTTTGGTTAGTGGGCAGGTTCTGTATGGAGAAATAAATGTTTGGTTTTTCTGAGATTTTTGTCTTGAGCATCACATTTTACAGGTACTTTGGGAGTCAAGTCCACTTGCCAATGTTTGTTGAACCTTGACCTAGCTATAATCCTTTTGTTGTTTTTGTTTTAAGGATTACAATTTGTATATTTCCCTAAACACTTCCTTTGTACAGTCCACAAAGTGTGTGCTCTGTCCACAAAAAGCATTGTATTTGGTTGTTTCAAGGTAAAGGAAGACCGTTTATGATTATGAGTATTAATATAATGCTTTCTTCACCTGAGCAGTGGCCGATCCAGGGGGTGGGGGGAGCAACAAGGAAATTGCCCCCCCTCTGCCCCCTAGCTGCCTGTCACATGGGGGGCACAAAGCATATAGAGAATTAAAATATGAGCATAACATACACATGAAAGTGAGTTTTCTCCTTCTCGGGCTGGGGATTACCACACACTGCCACCAATGGTATTAATATATGGACATATTTATTTTACCCCCTTTCTTATATATAGTTTCTTATAATAAAGTTTCTCCAGGTTACAGTAGCACTTAGCTGCCGGAGAAACTACAAGGGGGTAAAATAAATATGCTCATATAGTAATACCATTGGTGGCAGTGTGTGGTAATCCCCAGCCCAAGAAGGAGAAAACTCACTTTCATATTCTCCTTCTCGGCGGCGCAATGGCAGAGCTTCCCATGCTCAGCACTGCTAGGCGAATCGGAGAGCAGGCGGAGCTATGGTGGTGACGCCATAGCCCCACCTACTCTCCTCCAATTGGCCTAGCAGACCTCCTCTATTTACTGAAAGTAAGGGAGGCAATGGCGACCATTAGAGGACCTGGTGAGTCACAATGCTCAGTGAGTGCTCAGCCCTAAACCACCACCCAAAGAAAAAGCTACCTATCTACTAAATCCCTATGTATATTTAAACAAATGGAAGTTATTTAGTTACCTCCAAGGGCCATTGGAGGGAATGCCCGCCTGCCAACGTCAAGGCAGACCCCCCTAAGCGGGTCCTACACTAACCTTTCACCTTGCTTCCTTGTGCTTCATTTGTTTAAATATACATCGGGATTTAGGAGAGAGCGCAGGTAACTTTTTTCTTTGGTTTTTACTATATGTATTGGGGCTGATGTGCACTGTGGTCGTTGCTGCCGCCCAGGAGTGATGGGAGTGAGCGCAGGACTTCTCTTTTTGTATTTGTATTAACCCACCACCCAGCTTAAATATATTTAGAGGAACACTCCAAGCACCATAACCATAACCACCATGTTCTGGTGCTAGGAGTGCCCTGATGCTTTCCCAGTGTAATTTGTATCTGGGTCCTGCTGGATGCTTGCAGCTCCAGACTCTGTTTTCAGATTCTCCTTGAGAATCCGGTTAGCTCCAGTAAGCTAAGCAGCACTATGCAGGACTGAATTCATTGACTGAGAGCGTCAGCTGAGTGCTGTAAAATGGTCTCACAGATAACACTGGGACTGACAATCTGAGGAATGAATGGTTCCCTACAGTGCCTCCCACCAATCCTCCATGTTAGAGGATGAGGAAGGCAATGCATCAGCGACATAACTCCTGCCGGTGCAGCTGCACTAGGGCTCACATGCCAAGGGAGCACATTGGATGGCTCATTCAGTAAAAGGCCACCAGATATCATAGTGTCTTCAGTGGCCCATTCAGCGACGCGGCTCTTAAATAGCGCGAAAGGGCCCCTGTGTTTATGTCAATGCTGGTAGGAAGTGGGTGTATCTGCATGTGTGTTAGTGTGTGCCTGTGTATTTATCAGTGTGTCTGTATGTGTCATTCTATGTGTCACCCTGTGTATGTGTGTGTGCGTATTTGCATAGTGTGTGTATCTGTGTATCTGCATGTGTGTTAGTGTGTGTCTGTATTTGCATGGGCATCAGTGCTCAGTGCCAAATACAACCCTGCAAGGATGGGCAAATGGTTCATCCCGAGCTACAAAAGCATTGTGGGAGCTGTACGACAGATGGGAATCTATATTTTGGCCATCCTTGTGATAAGGGGTGACGTAAATAATTCTTGCACCAGGGCCCTGTCTTCTTAAGTTCCACCGCTGCAATGCATTGAATAAAATGGATGAGATTAAATTAGCCTCTCTCTTTGAAAACAGTTGTATTTTTATAACGTTAAATGTGTAGTGTTTGTTTGTTTGTTTTTTCTTGACTTTGTAAAAGTAACGTTGAAAGTGTTTTACATGGTGTGTGTTACTGTGTGTATACATATGTTAAACAGTGTATACAAGACGGTAATGGCAGCATGACGCAGAGGGAAGTTTCTGTACATGGTTACTAGAGAAAATCTAAAGGTTGTAGTGCATTAACCCCTTAAGACCGGAGGGCGTACTATTACGCCCTATTCTAAGCGGCTCTAAACGCCGCCGGGTGTAATAGTACGCCCTCCGGTCTTTTCCTACTTACCCGGTCGCCGGCGATCCCACGCCGGCGATCGCGGTTGGGGGGACTCCCAGGGAGCCCCCCGCGGCACGTCCGACCCCCTGGAAGCCCCCCGGCCATGTGAGAGTGAGGTCCTTGCGAGGACCCCACAATCACATGGCCGGGGGTAGCTGGCTGCAGCATTGCCAGCAGGGGGGCTGCCTGTAATGACAGGTGGTCTCCCTGCTGGCTGGAAATAAAATCAAATAAATTAAAAAGTGTAAAAAAATAATAATATATACTTAGATCATATATATATATATTATATATATATATATGATCTAAGTATATATATATATATATATATATATATATATACACACATATACATACACACACGTACACCGTCTAGGTGTATTTTACTATTAATATATATATAATTATATATATATATAATATCAATTACACGTAGACTGATACTGATTAAATATATATATATATAATTATTATTATATATATTTATATATAATATAAAATAAATAAAAATGTAAATACGTTAAAAAATAAAATTAAAAAAATAATTAAAATAAATAATTAAAAAATATATAGATGTGTGTTATTTCGTTCTAACTGTATTGTGATATTAATATATATATATATATCAAAATACACGTAGAACGAAATAATATATATATCTATATACATAGAAATAACAAGAAAGTCCTGGACTGCACTCACGGTCTTTAGGCTGAAAATATTTCTTTATTCCATAAAAAGATCTTTTTATGGAATAAAGAAATATTTTCAGCCTAAAGACCGTGAGTGCAGTCCAGGACTTTCTTGTTATTTCTATCTTCTTCCCCATGAGACTACGTATATATATACATATATTAATTCTACATATATATCTATGTAATATTTTTACATAATTAGGTATCTTAATTAATTACAATTAGCGGGACCTGCCTCACAACCCATGCCAAAAGTAAAGGGAATTTAATTTGCTAGCACTATATTTAACCCTATAACTTTCCAAGACACCATAAAACCTGTACATGGGGGGTACTGTTCTACTCGGGAGACTTTGCTGAACACAAATATTAGTGTTTCAAAACAGTAAAATGTATTACAACGATGATACCGCCAGTAAAAGTGAAGTTTTTTGCATTTTTCACAGCACTTACACGGACGATATTATTGCTGCAAAACTTTTTACTGTTTTGAAACACAAATATTGGTGTTCAGCGAAGTCTCCCGAGTACAACAGTACCCCTCATGTACAGGTTTTATGGTGTTTTCAAAAGTTACAGCGTCAAATATAAGGCTTGCGTTTCCTTTTATTCACATTAAAATTCGCCAGATTGGTTAGGTTGCCTTTGAGACCCTTTGGTAGCCCAAGATTGAAAATTACCCCTATGATGGCATACCATTTGCAATAGTAGACAACCCAAGGTATTGCAAACGGGGTATGTCCAGTCTTTTTTAGTAGCCACTTAGTCACAAACACTGGCCAAAATTGGCGTTTTTTGCATTTTTCACACACAAACAAATACTAACGCTAACTTTGGCCAGTGTTTGTGACCAAATGGCTACTAAAAAAGACTGGACATACCCCATTTGCAATACATTGGGTTGTCTACTATTGCAAATGGTATGCCATTATGGGTGTAAATTTCATTCCTGGGCTACTATACAGTCTCAAAGGCAACGTAACCAATGTGGCGAATTTCAATTTCAAATGTAACGTGCTATATTTGACCCTGTAACTTCCCAAAATGCCATAAAACCTGTACATAGGGGGTACTGTCTTACACGTGAGACTTTACTGAATACAAATATGTGTATTTCATTGCAGTAAAAGCAAACAGTATTATGACATTGACAGTTAAAATGTCATTTAGAACTAAAAAATAAAAATAAAAATCATATTTTCTCCCATTTTTTTCATATTAAATTAGCTAAATATTTGGCTGACTATGTTTCCCCTGAATAAAATGATATATAATAAGGGTGGGTGCATTTACTATGAAAGAGGTGAATTACGGTTGGACAGACATGTAGCGCAAATGCCAGGTTTTGTTTACATTTTGTTTTGTTCACAACGTGTACATTTGGCTCCGTCCTTAAGGGGTTAAGCCATTGCTTGGAAAAAGTGTTAATAGTGCAGCATTTTACTGTTTCCATGACCGCTACAGTCACCCAAATGGTGAGGTGGTCTGGGTGCAGTGGTCCTGTCATTTTAACCCTGCAATGTATAATGTTGCTTTTTGTTTTTGGAACCTGCAATGTTTATATTGCCGGGTTAAATCCACATCTAGTGGCTGTCTTCCTAATAGCCACTAAATGCACTTCAGCTGCACTGACCACGTAAAACTGCTACGTAATGTGGAAGCCTATAGGAAAGCATTGGAGAGGTGAGCAGCACCGAGGGAGTGTTAGAGCTGGTAGGTAAGTAAAAAGCATTATTTAATTTAGTAGAAAAGGGGAGTGGGGCCATATATATATATATCCGGGGACAGGGCACTATGTTGTTAGGAATAGCGGTTTGTATTCCCAAACCTACGGTGTTCTTTTAAAATACGTGGGCTGCTAAACTTGCTAGGTATGAATTTTATGTGATTCTTGATTTACAAAGAGCATTTTTATGAGGTTTATTGTTCTCATCTGTTCTTTAAATTAAACCAAGGTTCTTAAATTGTAAGCTGGAAGTTCGTTAAGCAACACAATATCTCAAATATCTCATGTTAACCAAACCTGGCAGAGTGCCCCTCCCGAGATTGGACTCTGGATCCGCCCCTGCACCTGAGACTCAAATATTATAAAGTAATACTCATGTTGTGTGTTTTTATTTGTAAGTGTAAGAGGTGTAATCTTTATAGCAATATTATTATCACATAACACTGATTTCTGTGGGACTTGTTAAGTGACCAGAAACACTAACTTTGTGCCCTTGAGATAAAAATGATGTTCGCGTTCTTATTCCCCTTTGACATTGGTTACAGAATGTGTTCTTGCTCATACTGAGTACAGGCAGCCTGGGAAATGCATGTCCTTTCACTGCCCTATGATTAGACCTCCCATTCTGCACAGTGGCATTATGGGTAATAATGCACCGGTTGTGTCATCAATTATTCAGAATATGATTGAAAACACAATTCACGTTAGAGTTTTTTAATCCTCTAAATTCTGAGGCTGTAGAAAGAGTTTTGGAGGCGAGTCCTGCAATACTAATACCTATATTCCTTCAGTCGTACGGATTTCTGGGATAACAAAGATTAAAATGCTGTATATGTTTTATCACTCAGTTATTTGTATAGTGGTGTAATGACTGAGGCACAGTATGTTTGAAGTGTGAGTAATCTGTTCGGTATCACTGTGATAGGTTATTTGTTTTAAGTTTATTTTGCACAGTATGTTAGTAATTGGAACGAAGAAGAAATAAAGGTAAATAGGAAACAGTCTTCATATTTCAGTTTATTTACTACCAAGGGCTATAGCTAGCGATTTGTGTGCTAGAGTCAGTGTTAGGGTGTCAGAGTTAGTAGTAGGGCAAATCTTAGTGTGTAAACGTTTGAGTTAGAGTCTAAGAGTTTCTGGACCAGTGATGGTAATTGCAGCTACCACCATAACCTCAGCTCAGTAAAGGCTACATAACAGCTGCCATCCTGGACTTTATTTACCACGAATCTCGGTCAATTCAGGGCATGTTTCTCGGTGCTCGCCTTGAGAGGAAACCCCTGACTTCACCATGGCCGTCAACCAAAGTCTATTGTGATTAATTGGTATATGACATCACCTGCCATGCAGTGCACGCGTCAACACGTCCCAGAGTTAATGTCCCCTCCTTACAGGAGGTCACAGAGAAAGGAAACTTACTAATGGTAAGAAATTCCCTTAAATCCTTTCATAAAGTCTGGGGTCCCTGGACACATTACAAAGCAGAAAGATGCAGAGTCCCAATTGCAGGGTTCATGTTTCGCCATGCACCATGACATCTCCCCTATTCCAACCGCCTTCTTCCTCCACTCATTTTCCATGTTTATTGTAAATGTACAAGGTCATGCTAAAAAGAACCCTTCATTTACACTATGTTACTGACATCTTGGCTCCAAAGAATTTTTCTCAAATTTAGAGTCCACAACAACCTGAATGCTTAAAGAGAGTTGTATTCCTAGCACTATCACTCCCTCGCCCCACTGTAAGGATTAATAAACCTTTACAGTACTTACCTGATTCCAATGATAATGTCCCTCCACCCCCTCTGACGTCACCTGAAGTGAGGGTACACTAATGCGCATGCATGGTGAGTGCCGCAAGTGCATTAGGCCTTCCCCATAGGTAAGCGTTGCTTCAGTGCTTTCCTATGGGGATTTTACCGATGCTGGATGACCTCATGCAGAGGTCTAGCGTCAGTAATGTGACACAAGCAGGAAGTGCCTCTAGTCACTGTCTGATTGACAGACACTAGAGGCAGCCTTAAACCTGCAATGTAATTATTGCAGTTCATCAGAAACTGCAATTGCACCCAGGCTACTTTAGTGAGATAAGGTGCTCTGGGTGCCTATAGCGTCCAATTAATAGTAGTCAATAATCATGTTCTGAAGAATGTTCGTGCTGTTTTTTGGTATCTCTTATGTTGATATATATATTTTTTTTACAATGTCACCTAGAGACATGTTATGATAATTATAATGCATTGAACATCAAAAGTCTCTCATATAAATAAATTTAGAAAAAGTTGACTTTGTAAAACTTGAAAATTTCATTTCAAGCAACAATAACAGAATGTGAAGTATTACATAATTGTAACCGACAAAACAGATTTCTTTAACACATGGTAGCTCATCCTTCAGACAGCAGGATTAAATAAATGCATCACTGTCAAATCGGAAAATATCTCATTTTCAGCCTTATTTGGAAAGGCTGTGTCAAGTGTGCTGATCAGTGGTAAATTAAAGTGCCGACTACGCTAGTGTAAAATGAGACATATTATCTATACATCATGCTTCAACCATTTTTCTTAACTCTTTGATCATTGTGTGTGTTTTTTTTGTCATTTTAATTATATTGTTTCTTTAACTTGCTCGGAATCCTAAAATCAAGGTTTAGCTTAAAGGCCGGCTTTAAACAACACAAAGCATTACAGCGCTATTTAGTATATATTTAATGTTTAGGATTCGGTCTGAAAATAAATGAGAACATTAAGAAAATACCATAAATTACATTTTCAATATTAACAAGAAGAATTAATATTTTCCAAGTACTGACCAAGCACAGTACTACATAAGACATTATAATGACATAATAAAATTCTGTTTGTGTTACCTGCTTCACAATCAGATTATTCAGTGCTGTATATGCAAATTTGCATTTTATCTCAGAAGAGATTACATATTGGTACTTCACTGAGTATAGTCGTAATGGAATGGTTTTTCATTTGTTGTAATGTTATTTTCTGTAAAAAGTTGATTAAAAATTAAACACCTACTGAGAGGTTAGTAGACACTGACACAGCTTCCACTATATAAAAGGATTACGGTTTTACAGTAGGTAATTGTAAAATAAAACAAAAACGAATTATTTATATAACATACAAGATCCAGTACACTCACTCATTCACTAAACAGCAATTTCAAAGCTCACAGAATGTAACCTAACCTAGGTACAAATAATGGGGGTTTAGTTTCAGTATATGATCATACATTGCATAAATCTGCAGCAATGCCAGTGTACCCCCATTTTTGGCAGGTCCAACCCGATTCCTGCTCTTATGAGATTAACCAGCTTCCTTTGGAAAGCCTTCCTCCTGGGACTCTGCAGTGATAGGATAGGACCTGCCAAAAAATGGGGTACATTGTGGCAGACATGTGCAATGTATGATCATATACTGTAACCATACCCCCATTGTTTGTACCTAGGTTAGGTTTAGTTTAACCATAGTTTTAACCTAGGTGAGTTTTCTTTTTTTTTTTTTTAACTATTACATTCTGTGAGCTTTGAAGTTGCTGATTAGTGAGTGTGCTGGACCATGTATGTTGTATGAATTTTCCCCAGCAGCACCCTATAATATATGCATATTCAGGTGAGTACAGCCCCGCTTGGTTTTATATATGTAATATATGCAGCACAACAGTAGGTAGCTCCTCCCTATCCCCAATTAGACAGGAACCTAATTAAAACAAACAGTATGAGTAATCCTTCCTAACTTTACACCCTCAGTTTATTTTGTTCTTGTCCTATCCCTAGGTCAGACTTAGTCATTCGAAGACTAGAGTTTTACTTTTTGTCTTACCTGTGGGTTGTTACCTTCTGCCTCAAGGGAGTTCCACCTCTCTCTTAGAAAGTCTTCAGTACATGGCCCTGTGCAAGGGTGACTCCCTAAAGATACCTCTTTAGTGACTGGGGGTTTTACTTGATGTGACCCTACAGGTAGCAAGATCATCACCATATTTCCTGCAGTGATCCAAGGGGTAGCAGGCTGGGCATGCACATACAGAGCATGTGGATTGCAAGGATTATAGGGACACTATAGTCAGCCAGACCACTTCAGCTCAATAAAGTGGTCTGGGTTCCCCAGGTTTTAACCCTTCAGATGTAAAGATAGCAGTTTCAGAGAAACTGCTATGTTTATATAGCAGGGTTAATCCAGCCTGTCCTCTAGTGGCTGTCTTCCTGACAGCCGCTAGAGGCGCTTCTGCGACGCTGGATGTGAAAATCGCATTCAGCGTGCAGAAAGTCCATAGGAAAGCATTTAGAAATGCTTTCCTATGGACTGTTTGCCACTCTGGAGCCGACGTCGGAGTAGGAGGAGAGGTCACCAGCGCCCAGGGAGCCCGGCGCTGGATTAATGTAAGTAACTGAATGGGTTTTAATGCCTTAAGCACCAAGGGAGTGGGGCCCTGAGGGTGGGGGGTGACGACTAAGGGTTGTATAGTTTTCCTGACACTATAGTGATCCTTTAATATGGCATTGTCTAACATTCCATCACTGACAGGGTTAACGTACAACTCTGTTATCTTGTACTTTCCCATGGATTTACTTGCAGTGACCCTAGGGGTAGCAAGGTTATGCCATCAGCCTGTATCCTGCAGTGACCCAAGGAGTAGCAAGCTGGGTGTGCACATACAGAGCATATATATGGACATAAGCCTTTAATTGTGAAATTTACTTTGAATTCTCACTTAAGTAAATAACCTTGCAAGTCTTTCAGACTGAACACTATACTATGGGCACACA